AAGTGAGGATAGATCTAGATCCCATGCTGCCGACAAAGGTCCCTTGTACAATACTTTCCTACGCCACCGACAGTTCAGCTAAAATGCAAAAAATAAAATATACATTCCATAAATTCTCTGTAAATAAATTACAGAACCCCAAAGAAACAAACTCATTGTTTATTTCTATTTTACACAATAAAATTACAAATCTCACACCAATGAAAACAACAGAAACTGACCCTTTAAAGGTGAACTGTTGGACTCACATACTCACACTTGGAGAAACTGAGTTTTGCACTAGTGGAGGGGGGAAAAATGGAAGGCAAAAGAACAAACACAGTCCTGAACTGAATTCAATAACTTAAGTCATATTCTTCTACCGGAGAACAGAACGATCACATTACTATCTCTGGCTTCAAAATGCTAGACTTGATCTCTTTGTGAGGCAAAACCACACCACCATTGCTGTATATCTCATCACATACATGGACATCTTCACCAAGAATAGTCATGTTCTCTACACGAGCCCATTGTCCAACAGTGGAGTGCCATCCGATAATACTGCTGGATATGCATGCGTGCTTCTTGATCCGGACACCACGCATCACTGTGCAGCGGGAGAGTCGAACTCCAGACTCAACCACACACCCTGGACCAATAGCAACATCTGGTCCAATCAGGCACCCCTCTCCAATTTTTGCAGTCTCATGGACCAAAACATTACCCACAATGTGGGAACCAGTGGCTAACTTAGTTGAAGATTTCTTTCTCAGGGAATCTAGATAAAGTCTCAGGCCAGTAATGTAATCCCTTGGCTGTCCAATGTCCATCCAAAACCCTGGTAGAACCATCGCATAGAGCTTTTTCTCTGCTGCAATCTTAGGGAAGACCTCTTTCTCAATTGAGGTGGGCCTCAGTTCAATGTGATCAAGAACTGATGGATTCAACAGATAAATTCCAGCGTTGATTTTGTTACCAACAAATAATTTTGGTTTTTCCACAAACTTCTCAACTTGTCCTGTTGACTCTTCCATAACAACCACACCATATTTTGATGGCTCATCCACCTATTCAAGTTTGATTACAGTATTACAATCTCTCCCAGGAAGGAAGTTTGATATTGGAAAAAATTTCCTCAAATTTTGTAACAAATTAACACATTACCTTTGTGACCATTATGGAAGCCTCCCCTCCATGGCCCTTATGGAATTCAATCATTTCTTGGAATGGGTACTCACTGATAACATCACTGTTGAGCACAAAAAAGGGCTCACCAGAACCGTCAATGAGTTTGTCCCTAGCCAACGCAAGAGGTCCAGCAGTACCAAGTGGTTCAGTCTCTTGGGAGCAGATGATCTTGATCCCAAGTTTTGCCTCAAATTCTTTCAGGAAGTTCAACATTACCTGCAAAATAAAGAGCAAGGCCATGAGAGGCTCTCCAAACTTGAGCAGCCCTAACTACTCAAGACATTAGACTAGTTTCCTGTATGTTGCAAATGAAAACAGAGTTTACCTCGGGTTGATAGTTAATTGCCAAAACCACTTCATTCACTCCAACAGCCTTAAGAGCCTCTATCTGTGAAGAATTAACAAATACATCCAGCCATAGTTAGAAAACGTAAGGAGAAAGTAAAAACTATACTTTGGTCCCAAAAAAAGGTCTAACATATCTTTGTAATAAGATCTATGATAAACGTTCAGGCACAGGAAAAGAAGAATAAGAAATCAAAACTGGAATCCGTCACAGTTTTAGATCTCAAACAAAGAAATCAAAAAATGAACTGATCTTTATCTGTTACAATTATTTTTCCACTAGTACATGACTTACAGAAGGAATGCCATATATTCAAAAATATATACCTGGTGCAGGATCATGGGTTTGTTGCCAAACTCAACAAGTGGCTTAGGCACACTGAGTGTCAATGGTCTCAACCGTGTTCCAAACCCTCCAACAAGAATTAGTGCCTTCATGGTGACAAGCTAATACAACCCCACTTTCCCTGTAGGTAATAGGAGTCAAAATCTTCAAGCAATAAAAAGAAAGATGAACCGACACCTGTGTGAAATGAAGGAACAGAAAGAACACCGCACTTCCTAGGTACAAGTATTTGAATTAACAAATACCGAAATATGAACCATTACTGCCATTACCAAAGCATTATCATTTATTAATTAACGAAATTCATTAATTAATTCACAGGAAATATTACTAGATCTAAACAGAACAGTCCAAAAAGATTGCATCACGAATGGATCAAAGCCCAAAATTCTTCTGAAAATCCTAGAAACCATCAAGAACGAAGGTCAATATCAGAATGAAACGGAGAACAATTTCGACACATCGCCGAATTCCAATCAACAAAATCCACATTGCCGAGCTCATTCCTAGATCCAAACTAAAAGCACTACAAACAAACAAGCATTGAAGGACACCAGAAAACAGCGCAAAAAGCTTCGGAAAACACAATCGAGAACCACAATTCAAGCAATTACCTTAACACCTCACCAGATCCGAACCGGAACAGAGTTCAAAACGGCGAACTCGAACGCAATTCGGCCTAGTAACCCTAGCAGCACGGCACGAAACCGAGTTCCTCTCGGTCTGTCAAAGGTCTGAGCTCTGAGAAAAGGCGTTGGGATGGTGATTGAAATTTATAGTGGCGGAGAAAGAAAAAGCTGATAACTAACGTGAACTTGGCGGACTTAAAATAAGATAATTAAAATTGATTTTTTTTTTCCCTTT